ATTTTTTTGTAGAGATGGGGGTCTCGCTATGATGCTCAGGCTGGTCTTGAACTCCTGGCCTCAGGTGATCCTCCCAAAGTGCCAGGATTACAGGCGTGAGCCACCACACCCATCCTAGACATGTTCCTTTTGCACACTCTTAGGCACATAATGCCAATAAAGAAATGTTCTGTCTCATGATTAGAGCTGGAGGTCATTACGTTAAGTGAAATAAGCAGGCACAGAAAGACAAATACAGCGTGTTTTCACTCATGTTGGTGCTAAAAAAGTTGATCTCATGGAGGTAGGAGCAGAATGATAGATACCAGAGGCTGGGAAGGGGGTGTGGTTGGGGGTTGGGAGGATGAAGAGAGGTTGGTTAATGTGTATAAACATACAGTTAGGTAGAAGGAGTAAGTTCTAATGTTTCATAGCATAGTTGGGTGACTACAGTAAACAATTTATATTTCAAAATATATTGAGTATTTTACAATAGCTAGAAGAGAAGACCTGAAATGTTTCCACCACACAGAAATGATAAATACTGGAGGTGAAGAATACTCTAAATATCCTGACATGATCATTACACATTCTATGCATGTAACAAAATATCCCGTGTACCCCGTAAATATATACAAATATTATGTATCAATAAATTTTTTTAATTTAAAAAAAAAGAACTATTCTATCTGCCAACAAAAGAGAAAGAGACTGCCAATGGCTCTAGGGCAGATTCCGATTCCCTGGTGAGAAGGCCCTGAACACAGGGGGCAATGAGACCGACGCTGGTAGCCCTGGGGAACTACAAATGGGCCCTGACAGGAATAGACACTCACTCTGGATTAAGCTTTGCTTACCTAGTAGAACATGCAAATGCTCAGAGTACTATTAAAATACCAGAACAGGCCCAGCATGGTGGCTCCCACCTGTAATCCTAGCACTCTGGGAGGCCAAGGTGGAAGGATCACTTGAGCTCAGGAGTTCGAGACCAGCCTGAGCAAGAGCGAGACCCCATCTCTACTAAAGATAGAAAAACTAGCCAGGTGTCGTGGTACGCATCTGTAGTCACAGCTACTCGGGAGGCTGAGGCAGGAGAATCACTGGAGCCCAGGAGTTTGAGCTTGCAGTGAGCTATGATGATACCACTACACTCTACCCGAGCGACAGAGCGAGTCTCGAAAAAAAAAAAAAAAAACACACCTAGAAATAGTACATGGATCTGGCCAGTCATTTCTTCAGACGAAGAAACATACTGTACAGCCTGTAATGTCCAACAATGGGCAAAGAAATATCCTCCTAAGAGTAATAGTTTGATAGAGAAGTGGAACAGGCAATCAAAACATTGGCTGTCTAAAACAGAGGGAGATGAAAGTCTAAAGGGCTGGCTTACACACCTTCACAAGTGTGTGCTCACACTCAACATGAGTGGGACTAAAGGAGTATCCCACTAGCTGTTTTTCTGGTTGGTGTAGGGAACAGGCCATGGGGAAGAATGCTGGTGTTAACTATGCAATTCTTGCCAGGGAAGAGTACACTGCTATATGATTGCATTCTTCGTTTCTTTCTTCCCCATACCACATCAACTTCCCCCCTCCTACCTGATGCAGTAGTGGTCCTAGGAACAAGGTTGCAACTGTAAGTGCTCGAAACGGGGATGATTCCTAAGCAAAACGACTGCAAGTATGTTTTTAAACCTTATGTCAGAATTCCTAAGGGCCTGATGGAGGTGGGTTGTGCCTTCACTCCACCTCATTAAATTGGGGCTAAGAGTGAATGCAGCTATATTGCCTGGCAGTAAAAGATGGCTCACTAATTTTATACCTAGGTAACCTTACCCTATGTAAATGGGAGTGGACTGGGGCGGGGGAAGCACTGGCTAGACTCGTATCGCTGCCTACAATATAGACCAGCACAGTGGCCAATTTCTAATGTCCCTTCCAAAAGTGAAAAAGTTTGAGTATTAATGGAGAGAAGAAATAGTAGTGAAGGGTAAAAGAATAATAAATGGGTTATAAATTGAGGGAAATCTAATATATAACCTCCAGGGAGGGGGAAGGCTAAAGGTTAAGTTGAACACCAATGGTTTAATCAATCATGCCTAGGTAATAAGACCTCCCTAAAAACCCAAAGGACAGAATCTGGAAAGCTAAACACCTGAGGTTCCTGAGAGTGGTATGCCCAGAGAGGGCATGGAAGCTCTGGGCCCCTTCACCCACACTTTGCCATATATATCTCTTCATCTGTATCCTTTGTAATATCCTTTATAATAAACCAGTAAATGTAAAAACAGAACACTACTGTATTGGTAAAAATCTAGAAGTCTGACAATTCCAAGTGCTGGAGTGGCAACTCTCCTATGTTGCCAGTGGGAACTTCAAATTGATATAATTGCTTCACCACCTAGAAGTATCTAGTCAAGTTAAATATATACATATCATGCTACATAGCAATTCCACTACTAGTTTTAGGCCATAGAGAAATGTTCAAACAAGAACATTCACTGCAGCACTGTTTTTAATGGCAAAAAAATGGAAAT